GAAAGTTATGATATTTAATAGCTTCTTGGTCCTAGAAGCAGTGTTATCTCAGCTTTTTCTTAGGAATTGGGTCCTCAGCCCAGCAGAGGAGACGGTCTAGCAATCTGAGGATGTATAGTTTCGTTACTGCACAGAGTCTGGGCCATGGGCTGTTTACAAGTCATTGGGAAAGAAAACCATCCCAAAAAAGTTAGCAGTATTTCCCAAGTGGGAAAGAGAAAGGCACATAAGGTACTGTCAGAAATTTCACACAGCCCAGTGTAATGCACAGAGTCCTAGATGGTGAATTAAGAGGTAAGGGTGCCAATCTCAGCACTTTATATATGAGACTTAAAGAGACTATACAGCATCCCAAATCCAAAAATTTGAAATCTGAAAGTCTCCAAAATCTGAAACTTTGAGTGCCAATGTAACACTTGAAGGAAATGCTCATTGGAGCAATTTGAATTTGGAATACTCAACCTTAGGTATAATGCAACTATTCCAAAATCCAAAATCTGAAACACTTCTGGTCCCAGGCATTTCAGATAAACTCAATCTGTAAAACTTTCCCAAGGTCACATGGCTGTATGTCCAAGGTCACAGTGGTAGTAAGTATATATGCAGCCAGGATTAGAATCCAGATTTATCTGGCATTATAGCCTGAGCTTTTAACCAACATGACCTTTTTTAAAGGTTTCTCACCAATAGACTGTTTGTTTTGAGAGATACAATAACCCCATTGTTTTTCTAATAGACTTTTAGAGCATGTTGGTTGAGAGTATTGGCTCCAGGGCTGTTTCAGTTCAGTTTCTGTGCCTTTGTCACTTTCTAGCTATGTGACCTCATCTTACAGTGGCAATCATAATAGCTCCTGTTTCCTTGAGTGATAGGAACATTACATAATGCTTATATAGGGATTATAACAGTGTCTGTCATACTACACATTATTAATATGGTTATTATTATCTTAGTTACTTTGAGTCAAGGTGAGGTAAAGCAGTTGGACAAAAGGAAGCCCCGAATTCTAGGCCTGGCATCACTGGCTTTGTGGAACTCTGGTTCCTCCGCTATAAAATGGCACAATGGCTGCCCTGCCGGCTTCACTAGATCCGACATCAGTAATGTATAAGAAAGCACTTTGCGGTTTGAATTGTTATAAAACCATAAGATAACTTACTAAAAATATTAGTCAGATCTCTCTACTTAGATTTTCACAAATATTATCCAAGAGAAAGACCTTTGCTTCTTAATGTATAACTTGAAATTATTTATTGATCAGTTGTAGATTGGGTTTTGTATGCTTTCTATT